CAGTGTAATTTTCCCTTCCTCTTTTGTTTTGTTTTGCAGAGCAAGCATGTCCACCCCTTCATCCTCCTCATCCTCTTCCTCACATTCTTTTCCATCACCCATCAATGGCAGCAGCAGCAGCTTCAGCAGCGTCACCACCAACAGCTTCATCAGCAGTGGCAGCAGCAGCAGCAGCAGTGGCTACAACAGTATTCCAGGCAATCCCATGGCCGACGATGACCAGTCCTCCCTTCAGCTGCAGCTAGTGCAGCTGCTAGGTCCGGTGCGAGACCCGCTGTCCACGGTGGTGCCCATGACCATCCTCTACTTGCTGCTGCTGCTGACAGGCACACTGGTAAGTGTTGGTAGGGGTTGTGTGTACTAGAGCACACACATACACACACTCTGCTGAATTATGTAACGTATCACATAATCAATTATAACTGGCCATCAACACCACTGAGAGAAGGAGGAGGAAAAAAAGTTATAATGATAAAAACAAACAAGCAAACAAGCCGCTGCCAAGCAACAACAACAGTGGCAGTAGCGGCAGAAAAAAGTTGACCTCCCCAATGACCTTCTCTTTCTCTTTTCTCAAAAGGGCAACATCTGCACTTGCATCGTCATTGCGCGAAACAAGTACATGCACACGGCCACCAACTACTACCTCTTCAGCCTGGCCGTCTCTGACCTGCTGCTGCTGGTGCTGGGCATTCCCCAGGAGCTCTTCTCCCTCTGGCAAAGTAATACCCTACTGCTGCTTGACACTGAAACGAATGCCCAAACAAATGCCCACAAAAATTCCCCTATCCCTTTTCTGTTTATTACAACAAAAAATCACATCAAAACTTTTTCTTCTTTTCCTCCCAGAATACCCCTACACTTTGGGCGAATTTTGGTGCGTCCTGCGAGGCTTCGGCTCAGAAACCTCTACTAACGCCTCGATTCTACTGATAAGGTTAGTGGTAAAAAGAGAAAGCTAAAATAAATATCCAAAATTCTGAGATTCCATTATGTTTTACAAACACATTATTATTTCCATTTTCAATCCCTGCACACTGTTGTTCACTTCTCTGCAGTGCATTCACCGTGGAGCGCTTCTTCGCCATCTGCAATCCACTGAAGAGTCACACCATGTCGCAGTTGCCGCGAGCCATCAAAATTATTCTCATCATCTGGGTCGTGTCGGCGCTTTCGGGTATGTACTGAACAAAAAGACCAAAAAAA